GGACTCCCTGGAGAATGCTAGCCCTTAACTTTGATTGCGAGAACAGAGCTGTTTTCCCACAGGAAAGCAAAAAAGGGGGTTGGCATCAAAGAGAGAACTTAAAAAAATAATAAAATAAAAGACACAAACACTCTGGCATCAAAATGTCCCAAAAATGACATCAATGCAGGAACCTTTCCTCTGTTTTTCACCAGTGCCAAAAGTCCCAAGGTCTGTTTAGGGCTAACACCAACACCACACTCTCAAAAATAAAGGATCCAAAGAACTCAGTCCCTATGCACTGAAAGTAAGGTTGGAGCAAAAACTCCTCTCGGGGTCCCTGAGGACTGATGGGACAACCACTGCCCTAAAGGACCTTCCAATGAATGAGTCTTCAAAGAGCCACTTCTGTACAAGTGTGAAGAACCTTTTTGAATGAATTTAAAAACATCCACATAATGTAAGGGTTCTACATCCATTAGGTTTTCTTTGAACTGCACATCCAAGCCAGGGGCCACTTAGGAACCTTCATTCTGAAGAGTGTAGAATTCTCCACAAACCATCTCCTCCATGTAGAAAACACACAGCGACATGAACCTGGCATCTCAATGAACATTCAGTCCAGTACAATAGTTTGAACACATGCAAAGAAGCATGTAAAAACATGTTTGCTTCCATGAAAATGTCCACAATCATCCAAAGATGCAAAGCAATCTGCTGAGGCCTGAAGTTGCACAGCAATTCAAGAGCAGGCATGAAGATACGATTGTCATTAAAAAGAATGGTCAATGATATTAATGCTAAAAAACAGCATTCATTTAAATCTTAAACTTTATGTAAATTAATATAACCTTATTTCATCTTATTCTGGACCACATTTATCATAGAATGGTCAGAGTAATGTAAAGAACTGGAGATTTCAAATTGTGTCAGAAAAATTTCAACAAAGCTTTTCTGAGAAGCAGCTGAACGATTAATCAGTTCTGTATCAGAATCACAAGTACAATTTTCAAATTAAAAGAGCTGTGATTTAAATTACATTCTACATTTTTCAGTGTTGCCTTAGCCAGTTTTAAGCGGGGGAACTGAACCTAACAATATAGAATAACACCTAATATTAAGGATGCATATTTGCAATCAGCCAAAACTGTAACTGTCAAATTTTGTCTCCAACTGCACAACCGGCCAATTTGTTATTTTGATTTTGGCACATCTGTGTTGTAATTTTTTGATGTTAAAAACATGAGACAACCTGTACCAAAATGTAGCATAATTATGCAGAATTCATTGCGCTAAATAGCCAGATGCCCCTTACTTTCAACGTAGCATTTACTATTTAAACAGGCAGCTGATTTTTTTTCTTTTAGAATTTTAAATACCGGTTTGGTCCATTTTTATTGCGACACTGGCTAATAGAAATGTGCAAGTGTGTTTCATGTGTTCATTTAGCCCACAATTTCACCTTCGGGTTAAAAAAGGTTAACAGTCCTAAAAAAACAAAAACAATGGCCATGGGCCAAACATGGCCATCAGCAAACTGCAAACAGCCATGAAAATCAATAATCAGCGCATCCTTACCTAACAACAACCTAATAACACTATGTGAACACTCTGTTCAGTATTCACGCTTTAGGCAAGAAAAAGTGGATGTGCTAATCTTCCTGGCCAAAAAATAAATAAATAAATAAAACAGGTCTAGAGATTACATAATACAAAATAGTCGCATTTAGATCACAACACTGGTCTGAAAAATTGCAATTAGATATCGTCCCCAAATGATTCAGCCCTAGAAGCTACACACTGGGTTTACAAATACGCAGAACAGTGCTAGAGGTCACTGCCTGAGACTAGCCAAACAGTTTGTTTTAAATTCAACTTAGTTGGAACCAAAAAGGCTAGTTTAAAAACTAGAAGAAAACATTTAAAACACAACCATCCAGGCTTCAGTGAGTCTGTTCACAACTCAAGCATTCAGAAAGCCTCCAGCTCTGAGTATGAAAAATCAAACAAGGAGAATGCCAAACAAGTTCTTAGCGCCTTTGTTCCACACACACACACACAAAGTCATGTGCATTTGATAAAGCGGTGGAAGAGACAGAAGATGGCTCTGGAGTTTCAGCCTCATGCGCTCGGCTCACTTCAGCCTGACTCAAACACTGTAGCTTTGCTCCAAAAACAGTACATGGCCACAGGCCACCAGATTAAAATCTAGGTTTCAACAAACAGCTGGAACAGTTGGAACAAATAAAAGCCCTTTTTCTATTGTGTGCGATATGTGTTCTTCCACCCCCTCATACTCTGGTAAAGTCCAGAACTTTCAAAAAAAAAAAAACGACATAGGCCTATTGCACAGCGCCCTGCCATAAGACGGCAGTTAAGAAACAGTCTCCACCACGGTAATACACATTTAAACAAACACATACGCGCTTCTCGTCTCACCTAACAGTACAACTTTTTTTCTTCACTCATCATGGTGCTTCAACTATAAAAGTAAATCTATACACTTTTCAGACATGCACTGAAGAACTGACATAAAAATAAATCAACTTTTGCTAGTCAAAACTGCCTAACCATTACATCATTGAAAAATTTAGAGCATCTTTGTCACAGTTCCAAAGTTATAAAACAAACACTCTTAAATCAAGACACACGTGTTTCAGAATATGATATAATAAATAAACCGCTCCAGAGGACACAGCCTGCTTTATAGGAGGCGAGGATCATGATCAAAATCACTATTGCATACAGAAGAAAGGCATTTAAAAAGGGTCTTCAGTAACCACATATTCAGTACAAGGCAAGTCATTCTCAAACATCGCGTTTTTGTTTTACAACTTACTATTTCTTACTTTGTCATCTATAACTTTAAGTCCTTTAAATAATTTCACTTTGGTCAACTAGGAGACAAAGCTATCTACGTGATCCCATTCAACAGTACCATTGAAGTTCGGAACATTGTGACAACAGACTTATAGGCTGCGACTGAAAGCTCACAGCAGAACATATTGGAGATAAGAGAGAAGGAGGTGAATTCCAGTGTCCTCCGTATTCTTGGCACCTTCACATATAAATTATGAACTATGTACAGTGTATGTGTTGGAGAGAAAGATCCAGTCCAGGTTAACAACATTGAAGAAATATCGGAATGGGTTTCTTCTCTGTTACACAATATCTGGAGAGATCAGTCTCTCTAAAGTCCTGTAGATTTTGCATGAATCTGAAGTCTTCATTTTTGCTTATGTTTAAGTGTACACATATTTTTTGACCAGGTGCATCTGCTGGAATCATATCCCTCATTGGTCTGGCATTACGGAGCGTTCACTCTGACCTGTGTTCTAGTTTGGACCTGCTGTTTTCGTCGTGTTTCTGGACAATCGGCTCTTGGCTGCTTTAGCTAACTTTAAACACTGCAGAGATTATGCTATTCGACAACCGGTAGACGTGCACGTGAGGGTTTGTCATTGTATAAATTACTGAAATAGCATGTTAATTATAATCTTCATCTTATTCAGTTCCTTTTGATAGATGCTATGACGACAATACTGTTGTTGGAATATCGCACCCCACTTTTCTCCAGTCATTTATCGCATCCACCCACAAACCAATGGCAGGCTTTTAAAGTAAATCAAGTATATCAAGACAACTGTCCTACGTAGACACTGCAAGGTATGGAATAAGTCACACAATCAAATAAGCTATACAATTCAGTAAGACTGAATTTGAAACTTGAAATTTCAAGTTGAGGTTCTGAAAACTTCTCAATAAAAAGTTTTTCCCCTTCGGTTGGTCATCTTTCAGAAAGCACCTCCTCCCTGGCTATACAACAGTTGTCCCTGTCTGCCAGGGTTAGAGGACAAAAAGGAGTGCAAAAAAACAAAACACCCACATTAACAGTACTCCTGAAGCAGTCCTGTGTGTGTCCCAAGAAAGTGCATCTCCGGTTCGATCTGGAGAAAGAACACCCCGTATGTCTGGTGATCCACTCATATTTTTTTCCTCTGACCACAGGCAAAGTTATGCAATCCCCAAACGTGTGATGCTTAACAAACAGATAATAGGAACAGGAAGAGTAAATGTGGCATTTCGGAACAGCCTGATTTACCACAGAGACTGAGCAACTTTATGTGGGGCGTCAAAAATGCTAAGTTCCCAAAGGGTAGGGTCTCGCAGGTAAAAACGAGGTGTCCGAACAAGCCCGGGGCTCACAGAAATTAAACACAAATTAAAGCATCAGAGAGTCAACATGCTCTCCATCCAACCTAGAATTATGCTTGGATCAAATTTTCCACAAATTATCCAGAAGTGGAATGCAGGCAGAATGCTGCTAGGGGTACTGCTAATTCTGCAGCAACTGGGGATAAAGAATAAGATCACAGACATCAGAACTGATTAACCAGGTAAACGGATACAAATTTCAACATGTTTGGAGTAGAGCTTAGTCTACTTTTCCTAGAATGTGCGGGTTAGTTACCATGACTAAACAATTGTCACCAGATTTCCTGACATAATATAATTTGCCCTAAAGGGGAAAAGCCCACAAAGGATACTCAGAATCACCAGAGAGGAAAAAAAACATCCACAGACCAGCTGGCAAGGGGTGATAAATGTAAATATGCAGGTCATCTTTTCAGCAGAGCACAGCCTCACAATTATTTGAGCATCACAAAAGTATAATTTTTTTTTTCTTTCCATTTACAGAGACCAAATGTTTTATAATACAAGGCCATCATGATTGTACTTTTATCTTTTTTCCTTAACTTCCTGGTGTCATTTTTGCAAAGATCGTTATTTTATCCAAGTCGCTCAAAGCAACAGCTTTAACTACCCCTTCATCCTTGATAGCTGAGGTTACGGGTCACTCCCTTGCCTGAAGGACTGGTTGCTACATTTCACGGAGACAAACAGACATCCATGGGCTTGCTCTGCTCCAAACCCTCTGACAGGGACAAGAACTGGAATGGCGCCCAGATGCCTAAGCAAGACCCCTTTGACACGATACCCTCTCCAGTCCACAGAAGGCGCTAAACGTGACAGGCTGGTCGAGCAGGGGCCTGCAGAGCTCCCAGGGGCTTCTTGGTTGTGTCTGAGCGCTGTAGGCAGAGCAGACAAAGGCGCTTGAGGCCTTTTCGGAAGGCGCTGTTGGACAGGCTGTAGATGAGGCAGTTGCAGAAGCTGTTGCTGATGGCCAACCATGTAGTCAGAAAGGAGGCAGCAGGATGACGGTATATTCCTGCACTCTCCAGCAGGAAGTAGATGATGTACGGCAGCCACAGCAGGTAGAAGACACTGGTGATGCGGAAGAGCACGGTGGCGTAGCGCTTGTCAGGACAAGTTTGTTCACCTGGTTCAGGCTCCTGTGGCCCAAACCGTGCCCGGCGCTCGCTGATCTGCCGGGTGTGTTGGCGGCAGATGCGGAAGATGTGGGCGTAAGTGAAGCAGACAGTGAGGGCCGCGGGTGCATACAACGCTGCCACGATGAAAGCGGTGAAGAGTGGCTGGGTGGACCAGGAAGATGAGCACCACTCGACTACATCCCCGTGGTATCCTGGCTTGCCCCAGCCAAGGAAGGAGGGCAGGAAGATGAGGGCAGAGTAGATCCAGATGAGAGCAATGCAGGCTCGTAGACGGCAAGGTGTCACCAGCGCCGCATAGGAGAGTGGCCGGGTGATCGCCACATAGCGGTCCACGCTAACGCATGCTAGTGAGGTCATGGAGACGCTCTTCAGGACGCACACCATGTAACCGAAGACCTTGCAGGTGAGTTCCTCGTCTAGTCCCTCCAAATGGTGCAGCAAGGACAAGGACGGGATGAGGCAGCTGACCCCCACCAGCAAGTCGGCATATGCCATAGTCTGGATGAAGGAGCTGGTGGTGTGGTGGCTGAGCAGCGGGGCACAGTGGAATACGAAAATCACTACCAGGTTGCCAGAGATGATGAGCACTGTAAGGAAAAGGATGACAGCAACTTCCAGCAGGCAGGTGTTGAAGATTTGAGAGTAGCCAACGTCCAGCAGGCAGAAGGTCACGGTGCTCTGGTTTAGCTCAGTTGAGTTCATCTTGTTTGAAGGTGCGCTAGGAAGGCTTCCTCAAGGGGCCTAGCTCAGCAAAGGCTGGCCAGTGTGCAGCTTTCTCTGGCAGACAGGAGAGACGTACCCATGCCGGCCGTCTGCCATCTCAGCAGCAATATGAGACGCAGGTCCGTGCAGTCTACAGGAATCCTTTCACACAGACTTACTAAATGTCTATCATAGCCACAAAAGCCTTCAACGAAACACAGAACAGAGGCAAGACAGGCTTCAAACCCCCAGCAACACAGGATGTACCAGCGCCCCCCGCATTTGCCCTAGCCTTCCTCGTTCTTCCCGTTCTTCTTCGTCTTTACTAGGAGAGTCACAGCTGCACTAGAGCAGGGCAGTCCAATGCCAAGCCCAGGATGTTCAAGGAGGGAGTCAGAGTACAGAAAAAGACAGAGGAAGTGAAGTTCTCAGCACTCTGATTAGATAGTCCCCATTTGTACTCTTAATGGTGATTAGTCCAAACGTTAGAACGCATAAGAAGAACAAAGGACAGTCAAAACCTCGCCATCCTCAGACAGGACAAAAATCCAGAGTCATCCAGATGCCGTTTTTTCTATCCCACAGTAACTTCAGTCAGTCGAAGAAGAGCGGGAAATCTCCTCGATGCTCTCTGGGTTCTCGCACGCTGCCGTTACACTGGGAAAGCGTGTGTGATCGAGGATGAAGGCACGGCCAGCGGTGATTGGCATTTCAAACGGAGAGAGGGGCTCTCCTGAGAGAAGCCAGCGTCTGGAATGGAAATGAGGGGGAGAGTGGCGCGATGCAGAGAGCACAGCCAGCCTCCCTCCCTCTCTCTCTCTTTCTCAGTGGCAATGATGCATTCGTGCTCTTTCTCTCCCTCCCTTCCAGTCCATGCTGCTGCAGCAGGGGAAAGCTCCACCCACTTTTCACTCCAGCCAGTAAGCAGATGCAGAAACACAAGTGGAGGCATCCCCTTCTCTTTGCCAGACACGCTCACATACATATAGATCCATGTTTCTCACATCAAGTTTTCAGTCTTTTAGATACAAAGATAAGCAAATGTTTCATTCTCTTTCACTGTTTCTCATAGGCTTCTTTCAAACACTTCCCTCATTCAAACACAAAAATAAAAGATTTTTACCCTCCTTCATGCCCCTCACATTCCCTGACATCATCACCCACGCTTCAGCCCCTCCCCATCCACCCTCTCCATCTCACATGCCTGCACATGAACGCAGCAGCAGGAGGTCAGCTACTTTCTCCAGAATTCTACCCAGATCCACCAACTCCTACCCACTCCAATATGCTCAATAAATGCTTTATTCGCACTTACTGCTTTTCATAGAGCACCGCCAAAGCAACTGATCACAGGATGACTACACAAATGAGGCTAATGCAGTCCAAACGCAATTATATTGAAACAAGAAATATGTAACACATAAGCCAACTGTAATATGTATAACACAGCCTGGCCAACATAATACACTTCCTGTAAGGTGTACTGAAGCATTACATTTATTTTCAGAATGATTTAATTTGAAATAGTGCATTGGTGCAACTTACTGAATCAGTTTATTTTAGAATGGTGAGGATAGGTACCAGGAGTCTTTAATGCAAATACAGCCATCTCATCATAATACTGATGGTGAAGTAGTGCTAAATCCTGAAAAAGTTTTTTTGAGGGTATTATTTCATCTTAAAACACGCTTCATGTACCCCTCTGCCATGAAAAGAGTAAAAATACATGTTTTAGGCCAAAATTCTATTATCAAAACTATTGGAAAACTTAAACATCTAAGACATCAGGAAACATACTCATTTGTATACCAGCTTTCTGTGCGGTAGCTTTAAGAAGCATAAAAACTTAGATTGTCCGGTTTATCACCACTGACTTGGTAGGTTCTTTGGAATGGCACATTTCATACCAAACCACTCTGAAAAACATTGTTTATATCTTAATGATTTCATAATCCAAAAATTGTGAAAAACAGGTGGATTTTTGCTCACTTTCTGATATTTTTCAAGTACATATCGGCAGATAGATTTATAACCATTTACAAAATGTGGAAATTTGGACTACATTTAGCTGTATTGGCATTACAGAGAAATATAACACTTATTTTTTAAGGGTTACAAATGCAATAAAATGACTAAACAAAAATATTTACATTCTTCATTTCCAAAGTACAATAAGTATGTAGCCAAATATTGGTCTAAAATATCAGTCAAGCCTTAATCTGTCTGAAAACCATTTTTTTGTGAAGTATTTCTTTGTCAGTTTGTTTCCGATATTGTCATGCATCCCTATTTTTAACAGACAAGAACACAACGCAAAACATACTGAAACACACAACACAAAAGTGTGTCATTTATTAACACATCACTTTTGAAATGTGGCACCATGAAGCCAGGATGCCTAGAGGAAGTATAATACTGCAGTCATAAACAGTGGGGCTAACAAAGAGCTTACAATCCACTAACATTTTAGTCCATGACTTTAAAATAAACAAAACACGGACATGCAGTTTAATAGGCTTCCACATTAAGGCAGGTTCAGCTTTTGTTTTTTCCCCTGAATTTCAAAGATGTATGCTTACATGTAATGACAGTATTGTTAATGCTATCAAACTTGGAGCATATATAATTCATGTATTTACTTGTTTTGCAAAATGCACTGTGTCTGTCATGGCAAAACCCTGTATCTCTGAAATGCTAACAATAGAAAGTAAACAAAATGTTTTTAACTTTCACAAGCATTAGCATTAAAAGATTTGATTCCAAGCAATTTTGGACTGTTTTTATGGGTTAATCATTAGGAAATGTAAATACAATGTAAAATAATAAAAACAAAAATAATTATATTATTACCTCATAGTAGAACACATACCTACACTACACTTTAAAAACTTGGAATATATATTATAAAACAACCAATAAAAACAATTTTTTGAAAAGGATTCTATTACTCCACAACCTCAGATTTCAGCTAATTTGCAGAAAGCTCTAAAAACTATTTTAGATGTGTTCAGAATGATAAACAGAGCTGTAGATGGTTCTTAAATGTCTGAGGAAGCTGTTAAATACTGTGAATGAAGTAATAATTAAATGAACAATACTTTATATTTGAAAAGTGATGATCGAATCTCAAGGTAAATAATTTTCAAGAATTTATCAAGAACTTACTATAATTAGATAACTACAGTTTATTATTATAACTACCTTATTGTGTCAAGCTTTTAATACATCAGTCCATACTATCTGAGCAACTCAGATAACAGCAACTATGAATATGACGGGACATTAAGATTGTAATTGCTTATCTTACCTTTAATCCATTTCCCAATCTTTCTTTTTCTAACCTCTCTCTTTCTAACTTCAGCTCTGGTTGGTGTAGTGGGTAACACCTCTGCCTTCTGCGCTGTAGACTGGGGTTCAATTCCCTGCCTGGGCAAGCACCCTGCACCATACCAATAAGAGTCCTTGGGCAAGACTCCTAACACTACCTTTGCATACCTCTGTAAAAATGACCAAATTGTAAGTCGGTCTGGATAAGAGCATCTACTACATGCCATAAATGTAAATGTCAAAAAGATAAATCTAACCCTTATCCTAAACTTAAACCTGGTGCTAATTCTAACCCTAACACTGTTGAGAATGCAAGTTTCAGCAGATAGTAATAATTTAATTACTAAATAATAATTAAAGTAAGAATAATTCAAACATCTGCAGACAATCCATAGGGGGCTCTCAAAATAAAACAGCGTGAGATTACAAACTTTTGAACAATAGCGACAATCCAAGGCCTACCCGTGTCACATGACATAAGTCACAAAATTAACTTTTAATTGGCTATTAATTGGCTACATATATATAAAGTTTGAATTATGCTGCAGCTTACTGAGATTTTTTTTATAAAACAGGATAATTGGGAAAAAAGTGAGTGTTATAACTCTGGGTTTCTATGTATTTGAATGGGCTCATCTCCTGTATTACCCTACTCTATCTGCACTACATAGAATAACATGACAGTTTGGCCAATGAATTCACTGGATGTGCCAGTTACTATGCAAATCTGAGTAAAGGATGGTACACTGGATTCTGAGCCTCTGCAGCACTTTTAATGCCACTAGGGTACATTTCAACTAGAGGAGCATTAATAATTCAACTAATAAAATCTAATAATACTTTGCTAAATCCAGCATGCACTATATTACAACCCAAATTTCTCCCTTCATATCAAAGCCTCTTTGTTTCAGGTTTGTTTTCCTGTCTACTTCAAATCTGTGCAACGATTTAACAACTTATGATCACCATGACGTCTCCTGCACTCCAGCCTATGGGTGCACGCAAACACACACACGCACACCTTCCCTGCTGGGTGTGCGTTGCTCCAGACACACTCCCCTGCTTTCACGCATCCCCTCAGCCTGGCACACGAGGGGCTAAAAATAGGCCTGACTGAAAGGTAGGGAGCAGACCACATTCAGCTTATCCATTAAAATAAAGAGAAAGAAAAAGAGAGAGAGAAACAGAAAGAGAGAGAGAGAGATAGATAAGCTTTAAGGAATGAGGTGAGACAGCACATTCGAGGTCTGGTGGTATGCAGGTTTACATTTGGCTTAATTAGCCGCATCATCACTGATCTCAGCACTAAGATAGACAGCACCCTGACCAGCAGCTCAAGCCTGTTCACCTGACCACCTAACTATCCTCCTCACCGGAGCCCCCCCTCAAACTAGGGCTGCAACAATTAGCATACAAAGGGGTTGTTACAAGTGAACAGAGTTAATTATGAAAAATGAAGACGCATCACAACTGTTAAAAAGGTACTTTAACATTCTATAATGATGATGACTTGGTCATTCCGACGGACTGCAATCAGAGATATCACTTTTTCTTTTATGATACTGATACCGATATTGAAACCTTAAGTATCAGCCAACACTGATTCAATAGCTTCACCTTGAAAATGAAAAAAAAAACTTCTTTAAATAATTATAGCTTTAAAATTAAAGCTAATAATTTAAGATGAGCATCTAAAAGTAGGCTATCATGCTGAAACCACTCAAACACAGGATGAAATACACAGCTAATAACATCACATTACACAGTGTGAGTGCTGTTGCATTTTTTACAGAATGGGATCACATTCATTCCTTTTTTACCCGTCTGAACCAGCATTTTCTGCTACTGAGCTGACAACGATGCCGTTACTGTTCAAGATGGTACCATGTCAGATGGGTGCCATCTCTAACTGCAATACTTCACAGAAAGCTTCTGTTCTACTGTTTTGTTGCATCATGACACAATACAAGATCAATGATAACTGATCGCAGCAGCAAAGTAAGAGGATCCAAAGAAAGTTATAATAGCTAAATTAGAACAGAATTGAACAGCAGGTCTCCTTCCTCTAAATAAGTAAAAGCCTGAGACAAGCTATTGGTCAGCTTGTGTTGTGGTTGGCACCACAATCCTACTGGATCCTCCCTGAGTCTTGCTGGAGGTTTAGTGTGCTCAGAACAGGAGAGAGGGCAGCTTTTGGACGGCAGGAGGCTAACAGGACCGGCTTTGTGCAAGACGTTTGTTATTCTTCACCGTATGGAGCAGTGTCTGGAGCTGTGCATATGTGTATCTGTTCATTGAGTCTGTGTTTACGGACAGGGCTACATCTGGAGATGGTATGGGCTTGGATAGAAAGACAGCCGGCCTCCTGTGTGTCTGTCATGTCTACTAGTTTCCACAGCAATCACATAAGCTGAATTCTCAAAAACTGGGGGCAAAGGACTACGATCATAAAAGTAGGTCATATGCCTGTTAGCCACACATTAACAACTTTATTAGATTTGCTACGTCGCATCATACAAATGTTTGTCCTTTACAGCATGTTTACATCCAAAAATGGTTTTGAAGACGTCAGAATCACAGACATGGCTGCTTTTGTACCAAGAACAGTTCATACCCTCTAAGGATGTTCTGAAATTAGAATATGAAATGGCCTATGGACTGAATAACTGCATTTTGCTTACTTCCATGGCTTAATTTGATTACCTAATGAGGTATTCAGTACAGAAATAATGTCAGGGCACATGTATGGGACATGTGCAAATATTTAAGAAGTGATGAGTGAAAAGTTGAACTCTTAAGCCAATCATATATTAGCACACCAGTAGTATATAAACTTCAGGTATACATTTCCATAGTTAGCCTATGACAGTTTGGCACTTTCCACAGCCTGCTCCTATGGCAACAGGTCCAAACACATGAAGAATAATACATGGAAAAAGTTGAAACTTCTCAGAAGAGCTAAATCAAACCTATCATCGCCCTAAGCCTACATTTCTAGGCACATCCTGTATTTGACTGGACTCCTTGATAAAAAATCAACACCCGGTCTTAACTCTGCCATTAGGACCGGAGAACTGGGGGGACCCTTCAACTGAAACTGTGGTAATTTTATATTTCTCTGCAGAATGTTTACAGTTAATGCGGACAGAGTGTTTCATCAATGTCTCTCTAAGAATTAAAACCGAAGAACGATATCGCAGAACAACCTGTTAGCTCTTCCATAAAACACTCAAAATAGAAATGTAGGTCATTCAGTTCTATTGAATTAAGCACAATGGCAAACTGAGTGAGCGTGGCCACTCTTTGTGTTAAGCTCTTAAGAAATGAATCATGATGCCTGTGAGGCACTGACAGTAAACACTCATATTCTTAGACAATAGAAAGTTTGTTCGGCCTATTTATAGCAGATCAAACTGCACACTAGTGTCGCCACCTGTTCCTGCTATATGGTGTGTAAAATCTTTCCTCATGAAATACATTCATACAATACGCAACACTATTACTTTTAAAGAAGGCTACTTATGGCCAAAGGTCACTAGCAGACATTGTGAACAGCCTGAGACAGCTGCGGATAGGCTGTTAGAGTTTTTCAAAAGGACCCCTTCCCAAAAGGAACATTTCAGTTAGACAGCAAGACCCCCCTCCCCTAAAAGTTTAAATCAAACCTATCAAAACCCATTGTAAACACTGTCTAAAAGTTTTAAACGCACATTAGTTTTGTAAAAAGACTTATTTTAAGACGTGCTACCAAAGTCCAGCCCTGAGGTACAACAGCACTGAACAGAAGAGATCCGATATCCAGTGTCAATATTGGGTCAGAAAATGCTGGATCAGATAACAGAGGGAAAAATAAGGACATGTTCCAATACATCATATATACATATATACATATATATATATATATATATATTATATATATATATACACACACACACACACACACACACACACACACACACACACACACAGACATATACAGATATACATATACATATATACATATATACACACACACACACACACACACACACTTATTAGAGCAGGAAACAGTTCTGCAGTGTGCAGCCCTCCAGGACCAGACTTCACTAAATGGATCTCCAAGCCTCTGCTGCTGACACTGACCCCTGTCTTACAGGGGTTACCAGTCCCTTCAGCTTTTTTGTAAAGCTCTGCATCTGTGCCTGCTGGTGTGTGGTGCATTGGGAGGTCAGCCAGTAAAGAGGACAGGTCAGTGACAGCCTGCTGAGTGAAAAAGAGAGCGATCAACCAGAGCTCACTGTGCAGGCTGTCAGTCTGCCTGCTTACTGCATGACCCCTCAACTTCTCCATCACACAATTCTGCAAGCTTTCAGTCTCACTGCAGAAGCTCAGTAAACACTACCGGGGTCACCACAACAGGACTTCAGTGATTATCATGATTTTGAGAATTCTGATAACTAAAAATAAAAATATAAAATAGCTACTTTTAATTTGTTTTTGTGATGTAAAAAATAAAAAAAAACATTTTAAATATATCCATCTTCCAGCCAGCAGCTTAGTCATTCAGC